CATGCATGCAGAGGGTCACAGCAAATCTCCAACTGGTGGAGGGTGACTCAAACTCTTATAGCCTCTAGTGGCCCCCACCTAGTCGTAAAAACCTAAACATTCACATTCTTTCTCTCTCTGCAGTATGTTCTGTTCTTTTCTAATCAGACAAATAAGGCCATGACTCTCCGAAAACACTATTTCTTATAACTCAGCAGTATAATGCATCATAGACAATATCATTCATTCGCAATAAATCAGAAGTCTACAGCAGATACAAATCAGATTACCAAATGTAATAGTTATCATCTTCTCCTAATTCAGGAGAATAATGCAAACTAAAACTACATAATAATTTCACAATCTTTAATTAGGGGTGTAACTAGAGATGGCACGATACCACTTTTTTATGTCCGATACCGATATCATAAATTTGGATATCTGCCGATACCGATATGAATCCGATATAGTGTTTTTTAATCAACAAAACTGTTTTTTAAAATATCTTGCTGCATTTTGCAAGTCTGCAAGTTCATACTCAAGTTTAAAACAACAACTACACTAAAGCTATTCTGTTATACCTGTATACAAAAAAAATATTTCATAGTTCAGCAATACTGATCAATCTAATAAACTTAGACCTACACCATCCTCCCTATTCTGGTATTTTAAAGAGTACTTAGCGTAAATATTAAGCAACCTAACTAATAGGGTTCCAACTCCCAGCAACAACAAAAAGAAATAAATAAAAAATAGGGAACCACCCCTCACGCTCCACCTCATGATGCTTAATCGACGTAATCAACCTTAATTTGATGCAGTGTGAAAAAAAATGCACAGAAATCAATTATTTTTCAAGAAATATTAAATAGATTCAACATCTTTCTTCAACAAAATTGCAGACTGCACAGATGGTACCTTCCCAAAGTAAAAAGTACTATAGCTTACTAGGGTATATATTAGACTTAATAGTCACTATGTACAGTAAATGACTTCTATTCATTTTACATCAAAATTAAACTTTGGGTTTCAGATAATTAATTATTAAAAGCTCGACATTTTAAATGAGAATAAGAAAGAAAAGTATGTCTTTGTGCCCCCTTTTCCCTGTTCATGCCCTATCGGCCCCCCTGGCTAAACTTTGCTAGATCCGCCCCTGCACAGTTACCAGCGTCAGCTACGTAGAAAAAGATCCTCGAGTAGAAAGTAATATTAAATAAATTCTAACAACAGCTTATCAAGCTTAAACGTTCTGCTGTTGTTCAGCCGCTGGTTTCCTCTGTCTGGTGCAAAGTGGGCCAAAAACAAACAAGAGACACGGACTCGCGACAGAAAAGCCGATCAGCTGATCATTAAGCAGTTTCACGATTGAAGTAGCAGCCGGAGAGCGAGAGGCAGTCGCTTGTTAAGCTTAACGTGGGAATGCTTTACAAACATTCAGAGATGAACTTACACACTTGCTTTACTTCTCTCGGGATAACTTTGTCGGAGATGAAATGCCAGGTTGCTAGCGAAGCTCCACATGCTATCCAGACCACCGACAGGTCCGGCATGCCACAGCCGCTCTATCACGTGATGCATACTGCTCCGACTGCTAATGTTCTGAGGTGAGTTACGGCGTGTTGCAAGTTTTGTGAGGTGCTTTCGTGATATTTAATGGATCGGATTACATTTTTTATTTTTCTCCGATATCCGATCCAGTAATTTAGGTCAGTATCGGACCGATACCGATACGTAATATCGGATCGGTCCATCTCTAGGTGTAACATAGCATAAGATAATATAATAATCCCACAAACCCTTTCCACAATAAGGCACTTGCAAACAAACACATTTCTACTGCACCATTTGTCTTAGATTGGCCTCTTTTAAGGATCAATTGCCATTAAAACGTATTAAATCACTGTGATTAGGCAGGAGAAATAATGAAGAACGTGACTTCCTTTACTAGATTTTAGAACAAACATTTTTAACAAATCAAAGGGCACAGGAAACATTTTGAGAAACATTATGAGACAGGAAACATCTTGAATGAAATCAAAGGGATCATCTTCATCACTTCTGCAAATTCAGTCTTTTTCTTTTTAAACCACAGAACATCTGGTTGGTTTTATAATGAGCTAAAGTATATTCAGATGCAACACTATGTACTATGGTGAGCTTATTGTAAAACATAAAAAGTAACAAAGAGGAACATCAGATACCAACACGAACAGGAAGCAGCTGGTGTGTGGGTAAACTGGTGTCCATGGTGACAGTTACAAGGTAAACAAGCTGTTTGAAGTTAGTGCTGAAACTGAATGTGATTGGATAATGCTTGGTCAGAACAATGCATTGTTGTCAGACAACAGCCAATGGGCTGCAAGGTGGCTGTTAATGCAAATGGAACAGTTTAATTGTTTAAAACATCAAAAGCACCTCCAAATGACCTTCCATCTTTCTTAGAAAAAAAAGAAATTTGTTCTGCTGCTCATATAATTGTGACCTGTGTATTTGCTGTTACCAACACCAACCACTAATATTGCCTATATTATATGTAGCCTCACCGGATACAAGTACTGGAGTTCTTAATGTGCAGTCTTTTATTATCAGTGAAGACAGAAATGTCCCCATTTTGTCCAAAAATGTGTGTGTGTGTGTGTGTGTGTGTGTGTGTGTGTGTGTGTGTGTGTGTGTGGATATTTATCTATATCTCTATATCGCTATATATTTTTAAAAAAAATCAAATCAAATAATAAGAAAACTACAAAAACAAAACAAACAAATAAACCAAGTGAAAGCTAAAGTACTTCATTACTCTGGTACAGTTTTTGTATGCATGCTAAACCCAGTCAGTTTGTGTTCTGGTGCTTGGATTGGTGGGTTGACTGCTTGAGTTTTCCAAGCTCTCAGTGATGACTTCACGGCAGACACATACAGGTTCACATTATGTAGCAGTCCACTGCTGGATGTACAATTTTAATTTCTCTAGACTTTCATATTTTATTCAAAAAACTGAGGTAGCAGACTTATTTCTTCCTGTGCAGTCATGAAAAAAAAAGTCTAAAAAGCACAATTTTAACATTATTGCATATTAAATAACTTAGAGAAATAGGTAAGAGATGGATTGGAGATCTAGGTTCACCAATTCTATGTAATACTGTAATTTTCTGCTGCTCATTCCTGTGCAATATCCCATCTGCCCTCCCGTCATATTTCTTTTCAAGATTTTCTTATTTAATCACTAGTGTACATATATTTATATTTATAGATACATATATATATATTTAGTCATCTTTTCTCTTTTACCATGTCTCTCTAATATTTTGCTCCTTACTATTTTTCTATTTTCTTTATTATTTTATTTTATTATATTATATTTTCTCCTACTGTATCATGCTGCTGAGTGACTGCTGCTCGTCAAACACATTTCATTGCAATGTTGACCCTGTGCTAACTTGCATATGACAAATAAAACTGAAAACTATGTGCCCCCCAAAAATCATGTAGCAGTCCAATTTTGCCATCTTTGCGTAAAATGACACCACATTAGCTATCAAAACAATGTCACGGGAACAATGTGCTATTATCAGAGCTTAAGGTGGACCAACAAAATATCAAATGGTATGACTTTTTTTTGAAGAAGAATTTATTTTGATGAATATTTTTTTATTTACAGGACTCAGTTTGCATATTTATTAATGTGAAAGCTGAATTGTCAATAGGCAACAGACACAATAAAGCATAATAAAAAAAATTCTTTAGATTTATCATTACAAACAGCAACAACACAGAATGGACGCTTTACATAGTCTGACAAAGACTGTATAAAGAGAGACTGGGCCTCTGGTGCAGGAAGCTGCAAAGGAAAAGGAGGTCTGGGTGTCTCTGCTTAGACTGCTGCACCCAACACCTGAACCCAGGTAAGCTTCAGAAACTGGACTGCTGGATGGGCATGATTTCTTGTGGTCACTTGCATTGATTCTTTAGCTGCCTCTCTTAATCCTCTTTCAAGAGGTTTCATTAAATAATGGTTCGCTGTCTCTGATCTCTATCGGACAGAAAAAACATTTTTGTCAGAAAACAAATTGTGTCTATAAAGAACAAAGTTATTACAGTAAGAACTAGACTGAAAACTAAACTTCGGTCTTAACTGAATCAAATGAAACCGGACTTGAAAAATTAAAACAATTAAAATAAAGCACAATACACACACAACCCGAGGAATCGTTAGTGTTTACTGGGACAAAATTGTACTTATAGCCTGTTCTTACTTCTGGGCCCGATTCCAGGCAGTGTGTGCAACAAACAGAGTTCTGACTTTGTTCACTGAGGAATTGAACAGATGGTGATGTTTAATTGAAAAAAACAGCAATAGGAGATTAAAAGCTTTATTTAACAGGCACCGTGAGCAGATCTAAAATCTGATCTGGATGGGAAAAGACCAGAATGACCAGAATCAGAACTGCATCTGAGCCTGATTTAGTCTGAATTAATGATTGTTATTCATGTTCTTGCTATGCAATTGGCCTGTGAGTGACCATTTAGGTGATTTTCAGTGAAAGATATTGAGGTACAGCCCAAATTTTTAAAAACTGCAGCATTAAAATTGTTGTTTAAAATAATTTAAATGACTGAATGTCTTTCTGTGAACAAGTTCCTACTTGAAATGTTCAGGACACAGACAGTCTGCATTTAAAAATCCCCTTTAGACTACATCTAATCCCATTTTAGATTTTTAAAGTAATTTAGGGCTCGTTTTCACTCAGATATTCACATCGTCACGTATCCATCCAACACATGACTCATCAGTTTGTTATGTGTCTAAAGCTTCATACACAGAAGTTTAACCCATATATACTATTCAGGTTGAATTTGACCCATTTTGACATTTAACAGCAGCAAACACCCTAAATTTCATTTTTTTTAACTTGAAATTTGATTACTTGAAGTGACCCAAAATACATAGACAATAAATTATTTAAAACCTTTATACTTTTATTTGTTTTTCCAAATACTACATTTTTTTTTTTACATTGAGGCTGTGCCAGTCAAATTTTACCTGTAGCTACTGAGATACTGAGTTTGGGTCAAATAAAGGAAAATACATTTTACAAATTTTACGGAATCATGAAACTGTGAAACTCTACATCCACAAAGTTCAAGGGGACAGGAAGCAGAAGGTGCCTTGACATGGACTGGAGATCTGAGACAGGCTGGCAGGGCGTCGCAGTAGTTAGCACTGTCACCTCACAGGAGCAAGATTCAAACGTGGCTGCGGCCTTTCTGTGTGGAGTTTGTCTGTTTGGACAACTCCAGAATACATCGGTTCTCTGACTTCTTTCCACAATACAAAAACACTATAAAGTGGTTAAATTGAACTCTAATTATTAAAAAGTGTAACGTTAAAATGAGTTCATCCTTCATTAATTCAAATAGGATGATAAATACGCTGGTTCACCACTTATTGCTTTTATTGAATAAACTATAAATTTCTAATAACAGATCAGTTTAAAGTTCATGTCTAAGCTGAATCACAGCTTTTGGCTCAGTTTAGAAATTTACTGTCTGTTGTGTCATTATGATAGTTTTGTAAATGTAAAACCAGCAAAAAATAAGCACTTGATATGCAACAGTTTTAGTGAAGACAGGTACAGCAGAGACCTCGGGGGGCAAATGTGCAGATCACCGTCTTCACATCACTGAAGAAACATAATGAAGTGTCTGGTTTTTTGAATTATCACAGTAAAAGGGAAGTTAAGTGATGTCAAGAAAGCTGTAAGGTGAAATGAGGATTGTGGGTGTATTTACCTCGTGACAGTGCTTGAAGTTCATACTTTTGTGCCTGCAAAATAATGTTATGAATGAATAAAAAAATGTGCTCTTTCAGTGATTGAGTCTGACGCCCCTGACTGAGTCTGGCAGCTGTAACATCTGTATATAACAGAGCCTTTTACCTGCTGATGTGGTGCTGCTTGATGATGCTGTCCCCCTCTGCTGGAGCTCCCCTCACTGATCCAGTTGATCTGCTGGTTGATTGCTTCTGGTTTTTGATGTTTTGCTTTATTGATCATTTGTTGAGCAACATTTAAACAGCCGTCCCAGTCTTTCCTTTTTATGTTGCTCGTGATTTCTTTAGTCAGAGTTTCATTTGCTTCTTTCCTCAAAAGCTCCTCCAGAACTTTTTTCTCTTCTTCCAAAATCAGTTGGTAGTAAAAAGTTTTCTTGTTGCACCAACTGTATTTTTCTTCAAACCATTTTCTCCACCCACTCCAAGTCATGAAGAAAGCGACAACAGTCATGCTGAGGAGCAGAGAGTAAGCAGCAAGCTGAAAAAGAAGCAACAAACATGCAAAATATAACAGCATTAATGTGTCTGTGTATTTATTATACTTTCATAAATTAAAAAGAAAACGTAACAGTACAATAACATTACATATTCACTGTGTACATATGCACATCCTCACCTTTGACTTCATTTGCAGCTCAGTTATTTGAGCTGTTTCATCAGCCGTGAGACCCTCAGGTTCGCAGAACAGCTTCCTCTTTTTTTCATCAGTGGTACAGCAACTATACCAGTCTGTGAAAAGCAACACAGCTACAATCCACAGCAGACTGATTAGAAACGCTCTGATAACGCGCTTGAGTACAAGGCATAAAAACGTGGATGGATGGTCCGCTGTGCTCCGAAATGTCCGGTCTATCAGGAGCACCAGGAAAAATACTAAAAAAACAGGCACGACCACCATTTCATTGCAATCAAAAGTGTGGCCTGAGCAAGCGCACATCTTGGCTTGCAGATACATAAATGCGAAGAAAATCCCAAAGCCTGTGCCAGTGGTGCCGATTTTTCCACTACGGACATATTGCAGGAGTTTATTCAACATCTTGAGCAGTTCGGTGCCTGCTGAGGCTGCAGCTTCTGACCTGTAAAATTACAGACACAAGACAAAAAGAAATATTTCCTGCTTTTCACACCAAGTATCACAGTCTCTTTGAAATTCAGCTTAATATCTCAGTCCTATAGCAGCTGTGAAGTGAGCAAGTCCTCCAGTCAAAGTGATGATATGAGCTCTCTGCTCCCACCCTCACATAAGAACCACGAGTGCTGCTCCTACAGGTGGCAGGATGCAAACGCAACGTGACGTCATGAGAAGGAGTTTAAACAGAACTCTGTTCAAAACGTTTCCAAAGTCGTGTCAACAAATTTCATGTTTCCCAAACACTTTATACTATGATGAGGTTGTGTGGCACGACAGGTTTTTTGATGAATGACTTGGAATGATGAATTCTATCAGCACAACAAATACTGAGTATTAGGTACTATTAGGTACTAACACTCATTTAAATACAGTAATTTGGTCTTAGATTCCGTTAGTTATCATAATCCAGGCTTCATAACCTTTCTGTTTTTTTATCAGTTTATTTTTTCAACTGCATTATGACTAACAACGAAAAATCTCCACAGTTTGAAACGTAGAGTGTTACAGATACAAAGTGAATTTATGTTATTTATGTCATGAGATGTTAAAACGTGTGGTTAACACAATTTAGTCACCACAGCCTGTGGAGTCTACTGTAAAGAGATGGCAACTCAAACCAACTTTTTTATTCAGTGTTGAAACAAAAAATGTCAAGCAAACATGAACAAGAGAGGTGAAGAAGAAAAAGAATGCAAGCAGGGTGGAGTGGGTGGAGATGACTGCCAGGGGTGATTTGTGGCAGAACAAGTAAGATAAGATAAGAAAAGATAAGATAGAACTTTATTAATCCCTCGGGTGGGTTCCTCTGGGAAATTCGACTTCCAAAAAGCACAGCAACGACCGAAGTTACAGTTACAGAATTGTTATATATATATATACACACACACACACACACACACACCACACACACACACACACACACACACACATATATAAATACAGAGACAAATATAAATAAAATATACAAAGGGGATAAATAGAATAAATAGGAATAAAAATAAAAATACAAGTGAATTGCACATTTCAAGTATTGAGTCTATTGCACTGTTGACTATTTACAAAAGTATTGCACAAAAGGTATTGCACAGTGAGGTGAAGAGGCACTACAGCTTAGTTGTTCCCCCTCCTTTGTCCTCCTGTTTCCCCTCCCTCTCCCTCCAGAGAGGAGTTAAACAGTCTGATGGCGTGTGGGACAAAGGAGTTTTTAAGTCTGTTAGTTCTTGTCTTGGGGAGAAGCAACCTGTCACTGAACAGACTCTTCTGATTGTTTATGGCCGTGTGCAGAGGATGCCCAGCATTGTTCATAATGTCCAGCAGTTTCTTTAATGTCCTTTTCTCTGCCACTGTCACCAGAGTGTCCAGCTTCATGCCGACCACAGAGCTAGCCCTCCTGATCAGTTTCTCCAGCCTGGATGAGTCCCTCTTTGCTGTGCTGCTCCCCCAGCACACCACAGCATAGAAAAGTACTCCAGCAACCACCGACTGGTAAAACATCCTCAGGAGCTTCCTGCAGATGTTAAAAGACCTCAGCCTCCTGAGGAAGTACAGTCGGCTTTGGGCTTTTTTATACAGGTGCTCTGTGTTGCATGACCAGTCCAGTTTATTGTCCACCCACAGCCCGAGGTACTTGTACTTGTTGACCACCTCCACCTCCTCCCCCTCTATCTGAACCGGCAGTGGACCTTCTCTGGACCTCCCGAAGTCCACAACCAGTTCCTTAGTCTTTGAGGTGTTGAGTTGCAGGTGGTTTGTGTGACTCCATGCGACAAAGTTCCTCACCAGACTTCTGTACTCCTCTTCCTGATCATCCCAGATACACCCCATGATGGCCGTGTCGTCTGCAAACTTCTGAATATGGCATAATTCAGAGTTGTAGCAGAAGTCAGAGGTGTACAGGGTGAAGAGAAGAGGGGAAGTGAAAGTTTACAAGATGGCAGTGAGACCAGCTGTGATGTATGGTTTGGAGATGGTGTTACCGAGAAAAAGGGGCAACCACAACAGCACAAGAAGACAAATGTTTCCTGTATTTCATGCAAATTAGTAGTGTCCATGTTTTTTGTTACAGCAAATGTTTCTAGGTCTGGTGGACCCACTGTGGCTTTCGTTTTTAAATCAAAGAAGCCTAAAAATGCATGTAAAAATATAGTAACTGAGAAAAAGATATTAGATTAGATTAGATTAGACTAGATTAGACTAGACTAGATTAGATTAGATTAGATTAGATTAGATTAGATTAGATTAGATAGGACTTTATTAATCCTTCAGGTGGGTTTCTTTAGGAAATTCTGACTGTCAGTGTTTTGTGACCTTCTAAAATCATACTTCAGACTTTCGCTTGTGGTTTAATGTCCTTGAGACTTTGTCACTTCTGAAAAAAAGATATGAAAATGGAAGCACATGTTGTCCTAAAATCTATTCGTATATACGTTAGAGCACTGATGGTTACAGAGATACAACATGTGCAAAATGAATGTCAGATCTGCCAGTTTCATAGGCACTCACAAACTCTGACACAATCAGAGATGCAGGATTTTGTAACTGAGCACTGATGATAAACTGGATGGTCTCTCTACTCGTTAGTTCAGAGCACATGGTATACATGTTTTCCAAAATGAAATTCACATTATAATTCATTCTTCCACAAAGTTTTCAACTTTGCATCAATTCACTTCCTGCCATTTTTTCTTTACTCTCATATCATTTTTGACTGCTTACTCTAATTACCAGTCCATTTCTTACCATGTTCACACCATCCATCCATCCATCCATCCATCCATCCATCCATCCATCCATCCATCCATCCATCCATCTTCTTCAGCTTATCCAGGGCCGGGTTGCAGGGGCAGCAGCCTAAGCAGAGAAGCCCAGACCTCCCTCTCCTCAGCCACCTCCTCCAGCTTGTCCGGGGAACACCAAGGCGTTCCCATGCCAGCCGAGAGATATAATCTCTCCAGCGTGTCACCGGGCCTCCTCCCAGTGGGACATACCTGGAACACCTCACCCAGGAGGCACCCAGGAGACATCCTTGTCAGATGCCCAAACCATCTCAACTGACTCCTTTTGACTCTCCCTTCTCTAAGGAGAGTCCAGGCACCCTTCAGGGTAAGCCCATTTCCACCACTTGTATGCGTGATCTCGCTCTTTCGGTCACTACTCACAGCTCATAATCGCTCAGCTCTCTCTTCACCATGACGGACCGGTAAAGCGTCCGCATCACTGCAGTTGCAGCACCAATCCATCTGTCGATCTCCGGCTCCCTTCTCCCATCACTTGTGAACAAGACCCCAAGATACTTAAACTCCTTTATTTGGGGCAGGAACTCGTCTCTGAGCCGGAAAAGGTTCTCAAGGTTCTCTTTCCGGCTGAGAATCATGGCCTCTGATTTGGAGGTGCTGATCCTCATTCACACTCAGCTGCGAGCTGGAAGGCATCAACCGATGATGCCCACAGAACCACATCATCTGCAAAAAGCAGAAATGACATTCTCAGACCACCCAAGTGAAAGCCTTTCAACACTTGGCTGCGCTTAGAAATTCTGTCCATAAAGATTATGAACAGCATCAGTGACAAAGGGCAGCCCTGGCGGAGCCCATCACGCACCGGGAATGAGTCCAAGTTATTGCCAGCTATGCGGACCAAGCTCTTGCAACTGTTGGCCTGTAGCAATTGGCCAAACACCCCATACTCCCACAGCACCTCCCACAATACACCCTGAGGGACACAGTCGACAAAACACAAAGACATGTGGACTGGTTGGACAAACTCCCATGCCCCTTCAAGTATCCTCGAGAGGATAAAGACCTGATCCAGTGTTCCACGACCAGGAGGAAAACCACATGTTCCTCCAGTCCAGGTTCGACTAATGGACGAACTTTCCCAGGGAGGCTGAGGAGTGTGATCCCCTGTAGTTGGAACACACCCTGCGGTCCCCCTTCTTGAAAATGGGGACCACCACCCGGTCTGCCAGTCCAGAGGTACTACCCCTGATCTCCACGCAACATTGTAGATGCGTGTCAACCAGGACAGTCCTATAACATCCAGAGCCTTCAGGAACTCAGGACAGACCTCATCCAACCCAGGGGCTCTGCCACCAAGGAGTTGTTTAACTGCCTCAGTGACCTCACCCCCAGAGACTGGTAGGTCATTTCCTTTGTCCCCAGACTCTGCTTCCTCAGTGGGATTTAGGCAGTCCTGGAAGTATTCCTTTCATGGAATACCTGCATGGCATCCGCAATCATGCCCCGCCTACTTAAATACTGTGATGGGTCCTGCGTGTGGTTGTTGTGGTTGGTACGTTGAGCTGGCAGCGGGAGAGCTGCAGCTCTGTGTGTATTGTGGACAGCAACCGTCAACTATTAATAAAGAATGATTAAAATGCCACTGGGTCTGCCGTGGTTGTTTACACACAACTTTATTTTTTTATTTTTTTTATTTATTTATTTATTTATTTTTGCTCTGACTTGTATTATGAGTATGAGTCTGTGGTCTGGGAGAGAGTCCTGTAACTCTGTCTGCAAAATACAGTAAATAATGACCAATGTTGGGCAATTAATTATATAGTTACTTCTTCAAAAAAGTAACTGAGTTTTTTGCAGCTCTTTACCTAAAAATGCAGCCAAGGCACTTTTTAAATAAACATTTCAAACTATTTACAGAACAATCAGCTGTTCTGCATCAAATCTGATGCCACACAAATTATTTGTGCCACTCCAAAAAACACACTTCTGTCGACTATTAGATAAAGCAGAACTACAGCCGGATACCTGCAGGCCTGACAACAGGAGATGTATCACTCCTGTAACATTCAGCAGTCGCCTCATTGTTCTGACACACACAACAAAACTATTGACTACACTACACACTAACTACACAAGATTTGCGCTAAATGTCGCAAATCTCTCACATCTCAAAACACCGCCGTCACTCCTAAAACTTAAACTTAAACAACTAAATGCCATGTTGCCATATCATGTTTTGATTGGTCGACATGGTACATTTTTCGACGAATAGGAAAGGGCGGGGATGTTTTGTTTTTGCTCACAGGCGGAGAGTTCTTTCGAGC